AGGTTACCTGTTGGTGAGGTTACCTGTCTGTGAGGTTACCTGTTTGTGAGGTTACCTGTCTGTGAGGTTACCTGTCTGCCAGGTTACCTGTCTGTAAGGTTACCTGTTGGTGAGGTTACCTGTTTGTGAGGTTACCTGTTGGTGAGGTTACCTGTTGGTGAGGTTACCTGTTTGTGAGGTTACCTTTTTGTGAGGTTACCTGTCTGTGAGGTTACCTGTCTGTGAGGTTACCTGTTTGTGAGGTTACCTGTCTGTGAGGTTACCTGTCTGTAAGGTTACCTGTTGGTGAGGTTACCTGTCTGTGAGGTTACCTGTTTGTGAGGTTACCTGTTGGTGAGGTTACCTGTCTGTAAGGTTACCTGTTTGTGAGGTTACCTGTTTGTGAGGGTACTTGTTTGTGAGGTTACCTGTTTGTGAGGTTACCTGTCTGTGAGGTTACCTGTCTGTGAGGTTACCTGTTAGTGAGGTTACCTGTTTGTGAGGTTACCTGTCTGTGAGGTTACCTGTCTGTGAGGTTACCTGTTTGTGAGGTTACCTGTCTGTGAGGTTACCTGTCTGTAAGGTTACCTGTTAGTGAGGTTACCTGTCTGTGAGGTTACCTGTCTGTGAGGTTACCTGTCTGTGAGGTTACCTGTTTGTGAGGTTACCTGTTTGTGAGGTTACCTGTTTGTGAGGTTACCTGTCTGTCAGGTTACCTGTCTGTAAGGTTACCTGTTGGTGAGGTTACCTGTTTGTGAGGTTACCTGTTTGTGAGGTTACCTGTTGGTGAGGTTACCTGTTTGTGAGGTTACCTGTCTGTGAGGTTACCTGTCTGTGAGGTTACCTGTCTGTGAGGTTACCTGTTTGTGAGGTTACCTGTCTGTGAGGTTACCTGTCTGTGAGGTTACCTGTCTGTGAGGTTACCTGTTTGTGAGGTTACCTGTCTGTGAGGTTACTTGTTTGTGAGTTTACCTGTCTGTGAGTTTACCTGTCTGTGAGGTTACCTGTCAGGTTACCTGTCTGTGAGGTTACCTTTCTGTGATGTTACCTGTCTGTGA